GCCTGCTCCTCCACCCCCCAATTCAGAATGAAAACATGTTGCAAAAAGTGTGCATTTTGTGAGGGACAGAAAGGTAAGATTTTAACCAGGTTGAGATCTGTTCTTTTAACCAGCTTCAATTTAAACCTTAACCTTTCCTGGGGTTCAAAGCCCTGCCTTTTCAGGACTTTGTGCTAAACCTGTGCGAGTTCAGCACTACCACTTCATAAAGAACATTTTGGAGGATGTAGCACATGTAAGGAAATCAACAAGTTAAGCTCTGAATGTCTTAAAAACTCTTCCTGGACATCTGCAAATGACACCTCCCAAAAAATTCCTTTATACAGCCTGACTGTATTTCTACAGAATCCCCACAAGTCAAATCTCTGATCTCATGCATGAAACTTAAATTCCAACATTTTATTCCACAACTTGAAGGTGTTACGGTCTCTTTAGAGAAATAATCAAAGGGAAACTTTGGTGAGCATAATGGTTCTCCACAACCCAACAGGCAGAAGCTGCACGTATGAATAAGTAGAAAGATAAGGAGTTTATTTATCTTCCTCATACTGGAAATTCCTTTCTAGCAAATGCATTGTATAGAAAATGTTATATATACATATGTGCATGTGTTTGTGTGTCTTGCCTGGCAAAGAAGCATTTCTAATATGCTTTCAGATCAAGGTCCATCAATATGGGCTTTTTTCCCCCTTTTTTCCCAATTTTGTATCACCATGGATTTGGGTTATTGGCTGCCGACGTTCACTGCATGAAGCTTCCCTTTAAGCTCGGGGGGGGAAATTCCGCAGCCCTGCAGGAGCAATGCTGTGCTGTGCCTGTGCAGCAGGGACGAGAGCTGCTCTTGGGGCAGAGGTGGCACCCAAAGTGCTGGCCGCTGTCATGCCGATGGTTGCCGATGGTGTTCAAGCACCGACACAGCCAGCCTGGCTCCCACTGTGAGTGGAAGAGAATGAGTATGTACCTCAGGCTTCTGGAGATTATAATCATGCCTAACTGATACTGGAGACAAAAATCCAATAACTTTTGGATACTTTGTAAAAACACCTAGTACAGTCCAAATAATAAAAGCACCAAAAGCTTGCATCATAAAAATCTCTTAGGCTAAAATGGAAATAGATACTTGCAGAAGATTTTTCTTTCTTTCCCTAACACAAAGATTTGAAAGGAGGGAAAAGTATCACAAGATAGGCAATTCCTTTCAGAGAGGTTTCCTTATATATCTCCATGTGAAAGCTCTTGGTAAGGGAAGAAAAAGTAATGCTCTGAAATAAAATTTGTACAGAGGTAGCTTTTTTTGAAATGACATCCTGTTTCCCAAGAATTCTATGTAGCCTTTAGTCAGCCTTGTTTCTTACAGTTCTCTGTGCTTTGCATGGTAATTAGCTGCTCGAGTTATCAGCAGTGCGATGCTCCCGGCTATTTCTTCAGCAGCCACTGCTGTCATCCTCAGCAGCAGCTCCTCACATCCAGCCTGCACGCCAGCCACCCATGTTTGCAGATGTTTGGTGTCCCAGGCCGTACTGACTGAGGGACAGAGGTAATGGGCACAGCATCATCGGAGGGGGAAGAGACCGGAGCCCACTTCCCCTGACAGCTCCCCAAGACTTGCCACTATTTTGCTGATGGTCCACTGGAGGTTCAGTGAGGCAAGTTTGTTATGACAGATTGCAAAACACAAAGGGAAACAAATGAGACGGGTTCATCAGTGTCAGAATAAATACACGGGAGTAGCTGCTTAGCTTAGTTGGCAACAGCAGCCTCAAAATCTTTATCTTGTTTTGATTTTACATTTTTTTAAAGTAACTAAAACATTTATTGTACAAGTGTGCTGTGGCTGTTGAGAGTTGGATGGGACTGCCTTGCACAGCCTGCCAGCACTGCCAACAGAAGCCTCACGTCACACAGCCAGCACTGACGCAATAGCCTTTGGATCAGGCAAGCTCACTGAAGCAAATAGCACATCAAGTGCTCTGTGGTGCTTGTTCCCTGCAGTTATTACAATCTCTTCTTTTAATTCAGATTTCAAGAAACATTTTCCAACTTTTGTTTAATTTTCTTAATTAAACTATGGCCACAAAGTTTAATTCAGGTTGCCAGATTCCCGGGCAGTGTGTATTTCTCTGTAATGTGACTAGAGATGTAGCGGGGAAGAGCTTTTAAGGTGAGAATGGGGAGTTTTTTCCATGCCAACATCTACAGACACTTTTCAGACATACCTTAGGTCCCACAATAACATTCTACATTGTGCTATATGATATCATGACAAAAAACCCCCAACAATGGCCCCAGGCCATATCAAATTGAAGTTGCTTGATATGTGTAAAGCATGGTCTCTTAACTGCTTTGACCTTTTTCTAGAAAGTTTGATATCAACAGTAAATTTAGGATCCTTACAAGTGTTCAAAGCAAAAATAAATTAAAAAATTTATATTTGGCACTCAAAAGATGAAGAACAAAGAGGAAAATGTAGAAGTTTAGGGGTTTTTTTCCAAATAATGTTTCAGTCATGCGTATCTTATCTTTGGTTTTGTGTTTCCAGCTCATTTTTCATCTTTTGAAAGGCTGTGTGAGGATATTGAGGGAGAGATGTGAAAAGTGTTTTACTTCCTGCCCAGAGAGATGATAGGCTAGGAAGAATAGCTAAAGTTTTAGTTCTGTGGTAATAGAAAGCAAAATTTCTTGCTGATGAGTATTTGAAGACTTATTTAATTACACTTCTAGGAGAGTTACTTAATTTTGTAACAGAGGCTTGTTTCTAAACCTAGTCTGAAATAGCGTGTTGCCAAATTTACCTTCAGTAGTTTTGTCCTCACACAGAAATAGAGATCATTATTTTATTGTATGTTCAATGCATTGTATACAGCATAAGATGGTAAGTCATCTAATCCCTCCTTCTGTAAAATGGCAATGGACTTGAATAGAGAATGTAACGTTGTTAGTGGAATAAAAAATTAATAGAAGGGGATTTGGGGACAGAAAGGGAAAAAAGAGAGGAGAGAAATAGCAATTATCTAGTATGAATTTTAAAATTATTAAATATCCAAAGATCATCGTGTTTCTGTCCATCTTGTTAGGTTCACTGGCAACATGAACACTGTCCCCCTGCTCCAGTAGCAGGAAGGTTGCACGTGGTGCTATGCAGCTCCTCAGGGACAGGACTGAGGTCTGAACAGGGCTATCTGCTCAGGCTGCAGCTTCTCTTCTGCATCTATACATCAGATATGAGTAATTCTCCAAAGGCTGACTTTATTGCATGCTTAGTTCCTTTGCCTTTGAAATCAGCAATGTAATTCATGGTGAACTGTAAAGCTGATGGACTTGTGTTGCACAAAAAAGAGTTAATGTGATTCATTTGTTTAACAGTCAAGGGCCATATTCAGCAAAGATTTAGCAGGAGTGAAAAGACAACGAAGTACTTAGGACTTTCTATGAATAAGTGTTAAAAAATACCCACAAAAAATTTAAAAACAGAAACTATTCCCATGCATATGCGTGGCTGCCGTTCTCCTGCCCTTGGTTACAATTGGTGGGCTGCAAGCTGTAACCTCAGGTCTGCTGCAAGCAGACCTCCTCAGTTGCTCAGCTCAGGCTGGGGAGTGGTGGTGAAGGTGTCTAGGAGCAGGATTTGCACAAACTGACTAGTGGGATCATTTGGTGCCAGTAGGCACAGAGGTGTTCATTTTTGAAAGTCCCATTTTTGGGTGCATAAATACACATGTCATAGAGAAGTCTGATTTCCAGATGAGAAGAGTTCAGCAGTTTGGAAAATCAGATTGCTTTGATATTTCTCCAGGTGGGCACCTGAAAATTCAGAACATCCAGGTGTTTTTTGAAAATGAGAGAAGACCAAGCTCACCTCTCTGCTCGTTCTTTGGGGACAGTAATTAATCAGGTTGGGCTTTCTTTCTGTCCCCTCCTCCCACACGGGAAGACCTCAAGCCCCAGTCCCCTGCCTCCTGAGTTAGTTCTGTTCTGCAAAAGGAAGAAAACCTTTCTTTGGGGAATTGTCAGGGAGTTTAATGTGGTGAAGTAAATCCCCAGAAAACTTGCTTGATGCAGCAGCCACATGTGTCTTGTGGAGAGCTGCAAGAGACAGGCATCCCCTCAGCATCAGTATCACATCCAAGGTATGCCCTCTCTTGCCAGTTGTGTTGGGCAGCGCAAGCAAACTGGGCAGAGGGCAGGCAGGAGGGAGGGGAGGGCATAATTATTGGAGGCTGGTGTCTCACACTTCCTTGTCCTTGCTGGCAAAAGTTTGGGTCCTGACAAACAACTAAGCTGAGCATGTAGGTTAGGTGCTGGCTGGATGGTTCCTGTGGGAGGATAGCTGCTCTGCCAAATCTCTCAGTTCCTCTCTCCAGAGGGGCTCTGGAGTGAGCCAAATTTGGGAGAGCCAAATTTGTCTGCACCCTCAGACCCACAATGTACAGGTGGGTTTAAGGCTGGCATTTTGGGAAATGGTAGTTCCTTAGGACAGCTGTGCTCAAGCTCAGTGTTGCTGCCTGTGCTGTAATCTCTGCAGGTCTCCCCTCAACAGCATAGGTGCCGCTACCCTATACATGGTCAGACTTCACATAGGCAGTGTCACTGCAGAGTCTTTCCTTCACAAAGAATGTGGAGAGATGTTATTTGCTTGATATAAATAAATCCTCATATTGAAACCTTATACATGCAATAACTGCTTTGCTTCTGCTTACTCATATGCAGTAGAGCCAAAACAACAGGAATCGCACCCAAAAATGGTGTAAACAAAATCCTATGAATTTATAAAATATGTTGCAATCATATGTAAACTGCAAATATTGCATCTTCCTGTTGTGCTGATGGGGAATAATTTGAGAATTTTAAGCAGTGCAACTTTTCAGATGCTGGAAGGACTTGGCCTCATTTTGAAACTGCAGTAGAGGGTGGAATATATTTCATGTGACAACCATGTCCTCAGACCTATTTGTTATTTCTTTTAAAAATATAAACAAACTGTTTTCTCATTTTGTTTACAGGACAGTGGAACAGGAGATAACAGCTGCATTGAAGAAATATTACGGGTAGGAATCCTTAAAAACTACATTTTTCCAGTTCCATTTTGTTTACTCTGAAAAACCAAGAGAATAACAAGAATATTGCAATTACTGCTGTTAAACTATTGCTCTTTTAGATTGTCATCTTTCTAAGAAAAAAGTAGGCAAAATTATTTTCTCATGGAAAATAATTGAAAAATCTGTGAGAACAACATTTCAAAGCCTGTAGATTTCACTGCTACTTTATGCCAGTACAGCTGACCTTCATGCATGGAGAAGCAGATAATGGGATAAATTATAAACTGAAATGTACAATGATGTTTCAGGTTTACAAACCATGCAAAGTGCATGTTTCCATTAATCATGACTGTCAAAAATCTTAATTTTGAAGGGAGGTCTAGGAAGGTCATTTTCCACCTGGATTTAATTATGTAATGTCATTATGTTCATTATGTCCATTATATAATGACAATGTGCAAAATCCATACTTATTTCCATATTTCATTATTATTTCTTTTATCTTAGTAATTTCTAGTTTATTTTCATGGAGTAAATTAACATAGATCCAGACATGTCTTGGCTTGAATCAACTTTGATAGTGATTATTTTCTGTGGCAGACAAATTTCCAAACAGTGAAACTTTTCCATATATTTTAACTCATGGGGTTTTTGGTTCTTTTTCAAAAAGCATCATTCAGTAATTCACAATGCTTATAAATCTGATCTAATAATGATTGAAACACAAAGGAAGGTAGATGGAATGATAAAACCTCCCTATTACTGTCTGCACTTCCACCTCTTGGATATCAACTACCCAATATTTCTGACAATTTATAAACTACAGGGCTATAAATATTTGGTTTAGAGATTAGTAGTGGATTACGCCTGTTGTTTCTAAAGGCATTTCTCCATTCTCCCTCAATATCTTAAATGCAGTGTTTAATTCTTAAGCTGGACAAAGAGTTTATTGACAGTTGATGATGATATATTGCTTATGGCTTCACTGGCAGAGTTTTTGCTTAGCTAACATTTACAAAATAGGCTTTTGTAAGACTGAAACATATATTCCACAAGCCTTAGCCACAGTCCTGCTTGTTTGTCACACATTAGTAGCAGATATCATGAATTCATGATGTGATATGAGGTTCAGACACCTCTTTTTTAGGCAAGGCTTTTAAAATTAAAAGTCAGAGAAGCTGACTTTAGGTTCTGCAATTTGTGTCATGCAATTAGGAAAAATGTAGAGGAGACACAATTGCTTCCACACAGAGAAAGATGGATATGTAAGAGACCCCAGCTGAGAAGAAAAATGCACTATATGACTAGAGATGGTAAGGTGTATCTCCAAACCTGTGAACACAGCTGCTGCTTTCTCTTTTTTTCCCTTTGGCATGTTCCTCAAGAAATATTTTTGTCAAGCTTGATGATGGGCAGCCTCTCCAATCTGCTTATCTTCCAGGTCTGCAACCTAAATATCACTTACTATTCTGAAATTCCCTCATGTCTCTGTGTCTAAAATTAAACATAAATCTTGTAGGCTGTTACTCTATATATAGCATTTCTACCTGAAGCTTTATATTCATAAGGGTATAAGTCTCAGGTCCAAAATTCTCATTACACACTTTGATTGCTGCAGCATCCTTCCCTTGTTTTTGACAAATGCAATGTTACCTACCTCCATTCGTGCTGCTGCGCAGATCATTTTCCTAGCTTGACATCTTGCCCAAAAACATTTGTCTTTACATCTCACCAATCTCCTTCTCTATCACATCAAGTACAGCTATTTGTCTCTGATTTTGAGGACTCAAGTCTACCAGTCCATGCTAGCATGTTAGATCTCACTTTTGCTTACCCAGTGATACCAGCCCCTGTCAAAATATTGCTAAGTTTTACATCAATCAGTTTCTCCCATGCTTCCCCTGAGATCTGAGAAGAGCCTTGAAGACCTTCCCAATTAGTTCCATAGCTATCTTCCAGTCCTTTCTTAAGGGCCTCCTTTTTCCCAAACGTGGTGGAAAACAAGTGGTGAGGTCAGGGCTGTACCACTGTTTCTCATGCCTGCACATTTCTGCTCCACTTGTACTTTCCCTTGTAGTACTCTCTCAGATCGGATACATCTATCTGCTCTCTTTTGTACTGAAAAGTGGATTTTCTGTCAGGAAACTGCTGTGTAGTACAAAAGCACTGCTTAGGTAGTCTCAAAATACACATCCAGATCAGCAGTGGTGGTTGTCACTGCTAATTGGTGAAAACAGCAACAGTAATAACAAGTCTTTGCTATTCACTTTGTAAATTACTGGCATCCAGACTTTTCCAGCCCTCCCCATGCCCTCTTTTTGTCCCAAACAGATCCATGAAGTTGTAACACAGATTTTCTGCTTTTCTGAAACAGACTGTTTATAAGGAATGCCATTTCTGTGTTTTTTGTTGGAGATGCTATTACATAGTAAAGACAAAATTTAGCTTCTTTTCAGACAGAATATAGGAGGAATATATACAGGTGCCCGAAGGCAGATAGGCAAAAGCCGCAGGAGCTTCAATACTTGTGTTCCCCTAAGAAAAGATAGCTGGCATGCTGAAATGTATTTATTATAGGAAGAACCAGTCCTACTGTATGGAGCATCAGCAAAAGGAAGAAGATGCTTAAAATTTATCTTTTTAAGGAACATTGCACCCTGTTTTAGCTGTCTCTTGCACAACACAAAGCAGAAAACATCCTCTCTTTCTAGGTGGTGTGTTCCTTGCACAAGTCAGGATGTGGCTTTTCCAAGGAACAGGTACTTCCGTGGCATGTCCATGTTTCCTCAGTCAAGACCAAGGCAGCCATAAGACCAAGGGCAGTAGAAAGCGTACTCCAGATCTGCTCCGCCTGCTTCTCTGCGTTCCCTTCCGCCCAGCAGATGGGAAAAGGCAAGTGCTGGTTTGTGCACAGATCTTGTCACCCTCTGTTTTCAGAACATCACCATGGCCGGAGCTAACATCTGAACCTGGGCTGCAAAATCAGTTTAGTCAGGGTTTAGAATCACCAAATCTTATTTTGCACTAACTGAAACAAGAATTTATAGTCTTTTTGCTGTCTGTTGCAACACAGGGTGCCACAACTTAAGTCTAGCCTTTTACCAAATGTATCAAAGCTCTGTAGACTTTGTAAACTGACAGATCCTTCTGCACAAAACTGCAGCTTCCAGAGAAAGTCCCCAAGAACTGAAATGCAGAACCGCTTCCAGTCCTGAAGGAGGTTGATTAACAAGACAGTCACACTGTCAAGATTGGAGCTGTTGTGAGGTCTCCTGCTGAGTTTATAATCACTGCAGGAATCCTGAACCTCATCTAACCCCATGCACTAATTTATATCAACTTCTTCAAAGTGCAGTGACTTCTCTGTACAACTGCAGGCACGCATATTGAGGATAGAGAAACTTCCAAGAGAGCCTTCTGTGTAAATAACTCCACAAAGACCAAGTTACAGATGTTATGTCAAAACATGAGACAAAAGCCTCATTACTTGCTAGTAGATGTAAAAGGCAATTCCTTGTAAGCTTTTGCATTGTTTGTAAAGGACGTGATAGAAAACTTTGAAGTGGAAAATAAAAGTTAAGACTACACAAATATCCTTGATGCCACCGTGCATGGAGCAGTTCCTATGTGAGTTCCTGAGACATGGTCAAAGCCAACCTATTCACTTCCTTGCTAAAATGCAGGCTTGCTAAGCAAGATTAGTTCAGTTCTGGGGTCCCCAGCACAGAAAGGACATCTACCTGTTGGAGAAGGTCCAGAGGCATGCCACCAAGATGATTAGAGGGATGGAGCACCTCTCCTGTGAGGAAGAGCTGAAAGAATTGGGGTTGTTCAGCCTGGAAAAAAGACAGGTTAGGGATGGCCTAATTGCAGCCTTCCAGTGCCTGAAGGGAGCTTATAAGAAAAATGGAGAGGGATTTTTTACAAGAGCATGTAGTGACAGGACAAAGGGGAATGGATTCAAACTGAAAATTAATTTAGATTAGGTTTAGATTAGATATTAGAAAAAAATTCTTTACTTTGAGGGCGATGAGGCCTGGAACAGGTTGCCCAGAGAAGCTGTGGATGCCCCATTTCTGAAAGTATTTGAGGCCGTGCTGGATGGAGTTCTGAGCAACCTAGTCAAGTGGAAGGTGTCCCTGCCCATGGCAGGGGGGGTTGGAACCAGAAGGTATTTTAAGGTTGCTTCCAACCCAAACCATTCTGTGACTCTATGATAGTAATTTTGGCTGATTTCTATTTGAATATATTAGTGTGTGGAACTGTGTATTTTGTTACAATTGGTGGGGTTTGGAGTAAACATTTGTTTTGCTGTAGTAGCTCCCAAAAACAGGAGCAACAAGAGTCCTGCCTCTCCACTAAGTTAACTGTTGCAACCAATATTGGATGCATTCTGAGTATATTTGCTATGGATTTAAGGAGTAAGGGAGTGTGTTGAGTGCAGGCAGCTCTTGATTTGTAAGGTAAGTGGTTGGAGATTGATCTAGCTATTCTTACAGTCTTAACTGCGATTTCCTACAGTTGCAGTAGCTTTGTTGAAAGGAAACCCACAGGTGAGCTGGGATTTTAATTATTGAAGATGTTCTTTGTGAGTTCCCTGGATTTTTTGTGTTGACATGAGAAGTGTCATTGAGCTGGTGAGAGACCAACATACTTTGAGTGTTTAGCCTGCAGTGTTCATGTGCAGGATGAGGAGACAGTAGGAAGCTGATGGAGCAACAGGAATGCAGAGAAAGGACTGGAGAGAAACCAAGCTCAGCAGTTAAAACAGAAGAAGCTACCTCCTTTTAAATGGCATGGAGCAGTGGGCAGACAGGATGGGGTGTGGGGTGGAGAACAGATAAGTTTCATTCAAGGAAGATGGAAAAAGCAACTGGGGAGGCAGTGAAAGGACAAGAACTCTAGCTGTGAACATCCATCCCAGTGAAGGACAACTCTCCGTGGTGCCATGAACCTCCTGTCCGAGGATGAACACCCTTTTGCAAATTACCTTGCAAATGTCACTCCTC